CAACATGCATGAAAGAGGATCTCGGAGTCAAACAGGAAAATCTGCCCGTAATAACAAAGATAGTCACAATCTGGCAAAGCTACAGCACAAGGAAGAAAAAATACCGTGATTAAACATAATAAGACTTCACTTGAAATGTAAAGTACTCTGGAACAAATTCTGCCAACTCACTTAAGAAGGAGCAGACTCTGCAATAAAGCCCATCACAGAGGGAAAACACAGCAGTAGGGAATTAGATGCTGCTACACAGTCCCCTCATTGTGCTGCTGAGCACTTTTTGTCACCTGCTTTTGAAGTGCAGGAGGTTCAGTCCTAAATTCTGCTCCCAGTGCAGGACTTGTTGAATTTTGAGCCAGTCACAGGTACCTGTTGTCCAAGTGAAACACTGTCACCCTTTCACAAGCTTTCCCATGTGTGAGCTGCTGGCACTGCTGCTCAAGTGCATTCTGTCAATATTATTTTCTGATATTTTCCAGCACTGAAGTCCTTCCACAGCTCAGTCCTGGGCTGAGATTAGCTCAGCAAGAGACAGAAGAATGAAGAGCTTGCACTGCCACTTCATGGTTTCCTCCCTGAAGCTGTAAGCACTGAGTCTTGTTACAAGGCTCTCTTTATCCCATTCCATGTGGGATCTCAGGCTGCACGAAGCTCGTTCAGTAGGAAGCACACTCTCAGGTGATATGTTACTATCACAAACATGAGTTCACAAGTAAAAAGAAGCAGTTTTGGCTCATAACCTCTTGAATGTCTTGGCACTTGAGAGTTAGTGCTGAACCTTTCCTAACCCTTCAGCTGGGGCTCCTACAGCATAGTTTGAAACTCGACTGTCGACTTTCAACGATCATTTGCATGCATGTATCTTCAAAGAATGGCATTGGATTTGCAACTATGTGTTGTAATGAGAGGCTAATTAACACAAATATGGCTATTAGCAAGTTGCAGACACTTAAAGGACAAACCCAGCAGACCAGAGCCTGTGACTTACTGTGTGACAGGACTGGGGAACCTCAAGGATGAGCTGATACCAGCCAAGGCTCTGCCACTAACTCCATCACCACAGGCAAATGGCTCTACAAACTCGGTTTCCCCTTCTGTAGTGGGAGAGTAAGACTCATTTACTTTGCTGGGGAGTTCTCCAGCTTAATTAAATCGTTACCTTTAAATTAAAGGCACTACAGAAATGCCAGGAAGTAGCGTCTGAATTAGAAGGTGGAGGTGACACCCTAATGAAGCAACACTATTTTCATCGTCAACAGTAAAAGGTCACCCATGGAATAATTGTGAAACCGCATTCCAAGCTTCTGAAAGGAAGGTGACTTTTCCCAAAACTTCATTAAGGAAGAAGATGCGTCCCAGCATCGCCAGGTGGCTGAAATGCTGCAGTTTCACAGGTAAACCTACAGTGGTTTCACTGCTGCTTGTTCTCCCTTGTCCTCCCTCTTGGCTTTCCTAACAGCAGCAAAACATCACAGCTCTCAAAAGAACACTTTTTCCACAGGCAACTGTTTTCAGGATGATCAGGGACCTACTAAGAAAATTGCAGAGGATCATTTCCCTTCAAGTTGGTAATGCTCAGCACAGCTTTCAGTCTTTCCTTTCCAAGAGCCACAGTGGAGGCACTCCCACTTTTTGTCTGGGACAGCTTCTCTCAGATATCATTATATTTTAACATACTCCACACACAGTGGAAATTCCCAGCTTTGTATAAAAATAAGGACATTATTGAAATATCCACTACTACAGTGTAGGTTTTTTATTTTTCAAGTACTGGAATAAACTTAAACCACAAGAAACAGGCCAGTCCTTGGTGGAGGCCCAGTTTCACCACGCATTCCCAAAAAAGCTGCAACTTAGTGTCAGGTGTGAAGCTGATAAGTCCTCTGTCTCAGAAACTGCCCTCAAGTTCTGTCCCTGATACCAGAAGTCACATCCCATCCTAAACTCATTTAGTCCAAACTGGGAAGTCATTAAACCAAAACCAGGAAAACTGGCAGCCACTTTCTTGTGTCTTGCACCTGAAAAAAGTTACCCAAGAACAACTCACTATACACAATGTCCTTGTGTCCAGAGCACAAACACCACAAAATACCACATTTGCTGATAACTTTGTAGCAAGGCAAAAGCTTTTACTTTTAAATAAAGCAAGATGTGCTATAGCAGGGGTCAGCCTAGTTCTTTCTCTTACATAAGATGCTCTTGCACTGACTGGATATGTATTATCCAGCTTCTGTGTGGATATGTTAAAAAATAGTGGAAGATATCCAGGGAACTACATTTGGACCAAATAACTCTGTATATGATCTTTTTTCCTAGTGACTAAACATATACTAAATATATACTTGCATACACTTGTTATATATATACATACACACTAAATATATACTTTTTCTTATACTTGCATTTATTTTTAGAAGGCCAAAATGACTGCAATCAAGTTCTCAGGTAAAATAGAAATTGTACTTGTAGTACTGTGCCCATACAACTGGATTCTCTGTTTGCTTTTATCTGTCTGTCAGCTGCCTACTAATTGCTTTTGAGGCCACTGACCTGCTTTTGACTAAATTTGACAGCAGGAAGAAGTCCCAAAGCTCCCAACACTTCCATTTAAAAAAAAAATGGTTGGGTAGAGGCGAGACTCTCCTAAGACAAGAAGGGAAAGGTTAATGACAAAGGTCAACTCCTATTTGACGTCAGAGAACCCACAGGAGGGATCACCCTTGAGATACAAATCCTCAGGAACCCATTTCCATTGGTACTGATGCTCTTCTAACACTTGTTTCAAATGGAGCTGGAACCAGAAATTAACTCCAGTTCTCACAACAGTTCACTGGCCTCAGGTAAATCATAACTTCTGATGCTACTTCCCCTGCCATAATGTGGCTGGTGTTAAAATCCCTTATTACGTTGCTGCAACAATTCATATTTGAAATGTACTTTGAAGGTCTGGAGAGTTGTATTCACTAATTATTACCTGTCTTGAGACATGAGCTGAATATTCAAAGTGCCAGCTTGATTCATCTGCAAGTGCACATCACATAAGCATATGGTATGCACTAAGACTCAAAATACAAAAGCAAAGATTGCTTTCAGAGAAGACTTTATAATCAAGTCAGTTTTGAGCTCAAAACATATAATTTTTATTACCACAGCTCTCCTATTAGACTGGATTTAAATTATTCCATGTTTTGGATTAGCACTTTATAAAACACCAGTTTGAAAAGTAAATACCAATTGACAGAAGACAAAAAGGCCATGCAAAGTTTGATTCTGTCCCCAGGGGCAAGTCTGATGTCTGAGATCTCAAACCTTTGATATCAGGCTGAATGCTAACAGATAAGTTCCACGGGGCAGTTATTGAGCACTGCAAAAGCAGAGTTTATCCTGCAAACACTGGCAATCACAGCACTGGGACTGGCAATGCCACACTGCAGTAGGCAGGCATTTTTATCTTCTGCTTGGTCAGGCACTTTCCAGCCTTCCCAGAAAAGATGCTGCTTTCATTTCTTGCAGGCGGAAAAATCAGATGACAAAGGTCTTGCTGAAAGTACTACAGCAAACAGATGAACTAGATAATGAGTTATGATTTTTTTTTTTTTAAGCATGCAGGAGGGGGAAATAGCTTCCCAAAAAGGAAACTTTCCGTGCATTGAAGGAAAATGGTGCTTTGTAGTAAAACTCTCTGCTAGAGAGGTTCCTATTTGAGGGCAAGGGAGCAAACTACAATTTCCTTCAATAATAACAGGTTAACCTTGTATCTTCAAGCTTCCTCCTGGAGCAGACTGACGACCAGCCGAGCACTCAATACCTCCCAATACTGGCCTTTACATTTCCTGAAGGAGCAAGCCCTGTCTGCAAATAATAATACAAAAAGCCACAACAGTGCCAGCTAAATTTTCCTTCTAATCCTCCCCATCTCCCTACTCCAGACAAAACAAATACAGCCTGGCCAACTTATTCTGACAACAGTGACTAGATTTATGTCCCTTGCACTCTATCACTGCCCTACAAACATACATTATTTTAATGCAGCATAAACAAATATCTGATTTGCTTAACACCACATCGAGTCCTAGTGATTAAAACATATATATGCATAGAGCCAAATTTATACATGCACAAACCCCTTTATAAGCTCTGAAGATAAAATTATCAGTATTGCCAAACACAGAATATGCATTATATTCTAATGACATGAGACAGTTGATTACCAACAAGCCTACTTCGTTTCTAATCAGGAAAAGTTTAGTGATGATCTCCTTCCCTGCTGGGAAGGAACGAAGGAGGAGTCCTCTCTAGGGACGGCACAGTTAACATCCCAATGCACATTTATTTCGGAGCTGAGCCTCATAGTAGTAGTACCCACCGAGGCACACAGCGCTTCGCGCAGCGCTGCTGGTCACGCATCCCTCAGCGCATCACATTAAAGTGTTTACCTCCAGAAAACCGAGCTTTGCAAAGTGCACTGCAGCTGCCTGGCGGCTCCTCCTGCGCCCGCTCCTGCCAGCTCTGCTGTCACCTGCCCGGGAGTTCTGCAGGGAAGGGACCCTCCTTGGCACAGGGCTGAAGGACAGCCGGGTGTTGCAGGCGCTCCGCAGAAACAAAGCGAAGGGCGATCTGCCTCGCTGCGATTTCCACCCCCGAACACACGCTCGCATCCCCGTTTCGCACAGCCCGTGCCCCCGCGGCCGCACCTGTCACCCTGTGCCGGGATCGATAACGCGGCTGCCACCGCCCCCCGAACGTCCCCGAGCACCCTCTGCCCGCCGCCGCTCCCTCCCGGACCCCGCCGGCTCCGCCATCCAGCCCGCACGAACAAAGGGCTCTCCTCTTATTTTCGATAAAATTCGCACAAACTAGAGAACAATACCGGAGGGGCCGCACAATGGGCACCGCATCCCTCCCGCCGGCCCCGCTCCATCCCCGCCGCCCCCCGCGCCGGGACAGCGCCGGGCACGGCGGCGGCCGCCCCCGGGGACGGGCAGGGCGGGGGCTGCGCTCACCTGCCACCGTGTACCGGTCCAGGTAGTTGAGCACGTTGCCCACGCTGAGGATGCCGGCGGCCGCCACCCGGGCCCGGCCGAGGCTCGGCGCCTTGCGGAGGGCGGCGGGGCGGTCGGGGTGCTTGCCGCCCGCCGGCGGGTTCATCCTGCCCGACAGGGTCTGCACCTCGCCCTCGGCGCCCCGGCCGCAGCAGCCCCGCTCGCCGTCCTCCTCCTCCTCCTCGTCGCCGGCTCGCAGCCGCCCGCCGCAGCCCGGGCTGCTGCCGGACGAGCCGTCGCTTTCCAGGCACATCATGGGCTGCGGGAAGGGGGATCTCGGCGTGCGGGGTGACTGACTGAGTGGCGGACGGAAGGACGGACAGACCGACGGGCAGCCGGAGCGCTCAGCGCCGCATCCCCGCGGCCGCCCCGAGCCTGCCCGGGACCGGCCGCCTCTGACAGGCGGGCGGGGCTGGGGCTGGGGGCGGGGCCTCGCGCAGACTCCGCCCACCGCGCGCGCCCCGCCCCCCCGGCCCCGAGGGGTCCGTCAGACCCGCCCCGGGCGGCACCGCGGGGCGGCTCCTCGGCCGGGCACAGACCAGCCCCTGGGGGGTCTCCTCAGTCCGCCTCAGCGCGGCCCCTCAGCCTGCTGCAGGACGGCTTGTCAGCCGTGTTCAGGCGGGCCCCGAGAGTGTCCCTTCAGCCCGCCGCCGCCGTCCACAGACCGGCCCTTAAGGGCCTCCCCTCAGGGCGGCTCTTCAGCCGCCCCTGAGCCCCTCACAGACCGGCCCCTGAGGGGGTCCCTCAGCCCGCCTCAGTCCAGGCATGAGGAGGTCCCCGCAACCCGCCTGAAGGCGGCCCCAGTCCGGCCCTGAGGGGTCCCCTCTCAGCCCCCCTCAGCCTGCCCCAGCTGCCCTGAGGGGGTCCGTTACCCCGCCTCTGGACGGCCCCTCAGCCCGGCTCAGAATAGCCATGAAGGGGCGGTTCCTCGGCACCTCAGCCCGGCCCTGAGGGGATTCCCCCTCAGCTCACCTCAGACCAGCCATGAAGGCAGTTCTTCAGCAGCCTCAGCCCGGCCGTGACGAGGTCCCCACATTCTGCCTCAGCCTGGCCCTCAGGTGGTCCCTTCAGACCGGCCACGAGGGCTTCCCCCTCAGCCCATCTCAGACCAGCCATGAAGGCGGTTCCTCAGCTCACCTCAGCCGGCCCTGAGGGCGTCCCCCCTCAGCTCACCTCAGCCCGGCCCTGAGGGCGTCCCCCCTCAGCTCACCTCAGCCCGGCCCTGAGGGAATCCCCCCTCAGCTCACCTCAGCCCGGCCCTGAGGGAATCCCCCCTCAGCTCACCTCAGCCCGGCCCCCTCAGCCCGGGAGCAGCCGGGTCTTACCTGCCCAGCATCACCAGCACAGTGGGACCAAGTAATGACTTCCCTTTCTCTACCTTTATTATTCTACAGCGCTGCACAGCAGGCTTCAAACACACCGATGGGCAGAACTGTGTAGTTATCTGGAAAAAACAAAAACTCTCCTTGCCTACTCTGAGCGCCCAGAGCTGTCTAAAGGCACAGGGACTGTCAGGGAAGGGACGATTTGAGGCAGGGCAAGGGCTCCCTGGAAGGTGCCACCAACCTTGCAGCTCCCTGCCTGGCCCCAGACGATTTTCCTATTGCACAGAAGTAGCTTCAGGAGCAACATGCATCTTCAAAGGAAGTAAAATTGCTCCAGAGCTCCCCTCACTGCAAACAGTTCCATCCCGCTCCCTATAAAGTTTCACCTTTGAGCTAAGAACGGCCAAGAGACATTTCATTTCAAAAAGAAGAGTCTTCAAAGAGATAAAAGTGTTCAGAACCAGAGTGGCTCCAGCCTGTCATACCTGTCGTAAAACTACAAAAGGTAACTAAAAACAGAGAAATAAAGTGATTGCTGGTGAGCCAACGCACGCTCGTCCAAGAACAGCACGTTAGGATTTCGGGTTTCTCTCAGTCTGTTGATCTTACCTAAGAAAATGTGTCATGATTAAAGTCTTTGTCTCCAGGATACACATTTAAACAAACCCCCATCGCCTTCCTCTGCGGAACGTGGAGCTCTCACAGCACAGCCCGTGTGTGTGCTCAGCATACCTGGCTGTGTCACACCCTGCCACTGATGACACCAGGGACAGACTATGTCAGAAATCTGGAGAGATATCACCAAGGGAACCCCTGGGACGCTGCTGGGGGGAAAGGGCACTTTTTGATGAGTCAGCAGCAATTCAGGGCTGTTTGAGCAACGCCTCTGAAGAAAGGAGCAAACACCCTTCCTGGTGACGTGTGACACTCCCTAGCGGTAAATGACATTTTAATGCTGAGAGTGGGCCTGCACAGACGTTCCAGAGCTCATTTCAGTGACAGAAACAACACATCTGGATTAATGATAATGTTCAGGTTGACCTGTTGAAGTCTAGGGGAATAATTGTTTACTCCATAGCAGCATCTGCAGTTCCAATGTGACTGACTGTATGGGAGAGGTTATACTGGCAAAGCTGCTTGTTCACATCCCCACTAATTCCACTATTCTAGGGGTGTACGTAATTTGGGCAAGTGACAGTGGTCACCCAGAGTATTATATAGCTCAAAAGCAAACAAAAACCAAAACCAAAACAAAAACCCAACAGAAACCAGTAGAATTAAAAAGAAGGAAAGAGGGAAAAGGAGTGAAATGGTTTCACAAGGACCACCCAACTTGCCCAGCAGTGGAGGCAAAACTCATGTGTTCTTTAAGCCAGACATATCAGGCATTAAACAGAGCTGAACTGCAGGTTCAAGGAGCTCCAGAGAGACCAGCCAAAGTGTCCAGGAGCCCTCAGACACGTATGGTCTGATCCACTGTCTGTTCTACTCTACTTCTTTCACTGCTTGGGCTGCCCCTGGGCTCTGCGCACAGAAAGCAATGTTCAGGAGATGTTAATGAGATTAAAAGGCAAGGCAGAATTAAAGACCTTAGTCTTATGGATCGAGTGGTTCTCCTGAAAGCAGCTAAGAAAGCAGAGCTTTCTCAAGGAACTGAAGTTTAATTTTATTTCTTTCCATTTAACCAGTACCAAGCACAAAAACAGAGGTGACACTGAAGCCAAGGTGGTTTACTGTATGTTAAAATAACTGCCTAAGAAGGCTGGGGAGTGACTTCTCCAAGTCCCCTTGATCCAGCAAATCCCTCCAAAAAGAAAAACCATCCCAAACACCAACTTAAGGTCAGTGTACATGCTCCAAAGTTTGAGCAGGCCATCAAACATGGAGCAATGCAGGACCAAGGCTGCAAGGGCATCCTTTTATTTCTGACACAGAGAGGAGTTTCAGCTCAGAGACATCCACAGATACAGCACAAAGAGGCATTGCTTGGGCAGTGAGTTACATGGACACACAGCCAACCTTAACACCTTCCACTGTACATGGAAAACTCACAAACACAGCAGATGCCACTGCATCCGTACGAGATTTATATAAAGGAAAAGCAGAGGGAACTGGAAAAAACGTGATAGAATTGTCTTTAGTGGCAGGATGAATCATATGACTGAACTGCTAAAATCACTGGTTACCACCTCTTAGGAGGAACGGCGTGGATTCTAGCTCAGAGACATTGCTGGGTTTGGCTGTTACAGGTTGTTGAGAGGCAATTTGATTACAATGTGCAAGTTGTAACATGGGGAGAAAAATGCCAGTTTTAAGAGCTCTAATCAAGAGGGAAAAGGCATAGCAAGAACCAGAACAATGGCTGAGAGCTGGAGTTAGAAAAGTCCTAATGAATCATCTGGTTCACATTTGTTACAGAGTGATTATCCTCTGGAACAAAATGCTAAAGAAGGGGTGTATCCTCTATCCCACTATCTCCTTCAATCCAGGTTGATTGCCTTTCTAGAAAGTGCATTATTGAATTCAACATGAGCTGTTGCTCTCCCTGCAGAGAGAACGGGGGGTAATTTCATGACACAGGAGGTCAGGCTGGGTGGGTTAAAGTCCCAAACCTGAAGATATGAGTCCTTACTCTGCTTACCAAGCACACAACATTTTCTGCACCCACTTCAGTTGCTCGATGGATCTGAGCCCCTGGGAAAGCACATTACACCAAGCTAGTCTTGAAATGGTGGTTACGAAAGAGGAGTGTCCCCACAGCCCTGGTGATGAAGGTGGGTGACGTCTTCCCAGGTACTGGGGATACTGTGTCTGTCTAAAAGCTAGGAAGCTCCCTCACACTGGGGTCACCATCAGGAGGTGTGTGGATACAACAAAAAGCAAATCTGAACTTAGGTAGCTCATCCTCCTGCTTCTTCCAGGTTATGCAGGTCATCTCTGCTCCAGGAGGAGCTCTGACCAGTCTCTGCAGATTCCACTCACAGGCATTAGAAGGGCTAAGAGAATCAGCAGCCTTCCTGCAGAGAAGTGACACAGCCTTGTGCATGTCCCTGGAAGCCCCTCAGCCCACAGCCCATCACTGTCTGGTCCCAGTGGCCACAAACACAGTGCACTGTGTGGGTGACACAACGGACTGCAGGCACAGGTCCTTGACCAGGCTCTGCTGAGGGACCTTGCAGGCACTTGGCTGCATTTTCAGTGAGGCAAGAACAGACTCAGCCCTGCTCTGTCCTAGTGCAGTCAACAGAGCTTATCCCTTCAGGGATTATTTTCTTCCTTTCATTATTTTGTTAGTATCTTAAAAGCTTGAAAATGTTTATTTTAGTTTATCCTAGTCTGCACTTATTGATTTTCCCTCGCCTCCAGAGTTCTAGAGAGGGTCAGTGTGAGCAGAAGCGCTGCTGGTTGACAACAGCTATAACTTACCTTGGAGCAAACAAACCCGCGTTTGCAGTGCACCAATATTCACTTCAGCGTCAGAGTCCAGCCGGTCCATGGGCCAGACCTGGCCTGCAGGAAGCTTATAACCAGCCTCCCACCTTCTCTCCCCTCTGTTTGCAGAGGGGAATAGGGGGTTGAACCACCCACAGAAGGTAAAACCCAAATGTGAGTCCTGTTTTTAACCAGGTTGGACCTCACTTAGTCCTAGCAGTTACTACAGCCTGAGGAACTGGACCATCAAGAGGACATCACATGGCTGTTTTGGAAATAAAGGAAATTATCTCTAACCCAGCTTATTTAAAATCCAGATTTCTTCTTCAGTTAATAAAGATCTTGGGGGAAAAAACCCTCATTTTGTACTTCAGAAAGTCACAATAATCCCTAAACCGTAATTGTCATAGGACTGGAGTCTCCCTGAAATAAGGTTTTGCCAAAATGTGCACCAGTGTAGCCACTACCATTATCAGGAGCAGTGACTGCCTTCAGTAATCTAACATGTTCAACTGTAAATAATTATGACTCAAAGCTACTTTTGTCCTTTTCCAGGATTTTCCTTTATGTGATTCAAAATTAGGACTCACTCACACACACACACACACACACACAGCTTCTCATTTAGGAAAAAAAGAGCT